GACGGGCGAAAATATCATCGCGAATTGGGTTACCCGACCCGCTGCATAATTTTAATTTGTGACAACGAATAGACTTAGGCGCCCTGCACCAACATGGAGATAAGATCTTTATGGTAAACTAATGCGACACCAATAAATCCGGCGTTGTTGATATTAATATCATTGATGCATCTGAAAGTCCCCTAGACATGAGGCTTCAGCCCATTCACACGCACTTTTCAGAAAATGTAAACATTCACCCTGCACTCTGCGGATGTATCAATTTTGTCACACGCAGTCATTGTTACTTTTATTACTATATTCGTATCTACAATACGTGAATGATTATCATTCACGCTGATGATGTATCAGATTAACAATAACGGTAGCCATCTTTTTAGTTTGATGCACCTTGTGTACTATCATCATTGAGTATTAGTATGCAAGTTGGATAATTGAGAGGGAATAACCTTGGTTTATCATTTGTCACACGTGTGTTCAATAAACACCCCATTTCGCAATAGGAAAGTCGTCCCTTGCAGTATAGCGGTGCAATGATCTCATGCTTATCAAATTCTAAAGAGTATCGTAAAAAGATCAAACATGTAAATTCCCCAATGACAACACTTGTCACTTCCAACGCACGAGCACAATAATTCAGAAAAGCTATCCTGGAACGAATAATTCTGAGGCGCTAATAAAAATGCATCGACTGACATGCTGTAATTGAGAGACTTTCCTGCCGAATAGACATTGATGATCATTCTCGCTAACAGTGAGAATCTGTTGAGATGACACTTTTTCTTGATCTTAAGACGCGATGGTATCTGGGCTATCTCTTATATTTGTACAGTCTTGGTATCACATTAAAGCTATTACAAATCAGTCATTGACACTTTCCACACTCAATTGAACGTTCAAACAATTATGAAGAGACATTTAAGTTGTCAATTGCCTTCACTCACACGTTATCAAATTTTTGCGAATTTGACGTGCATCTCCAAAACCTCACACACACATTTATTTTCTGGTTATTCTATTTATTCAACCATGCCTCGCCGATTTGTCATGTCTGCTATAAATAAACGTGTTTCTCTTTAAGAGCCTTATTAAATTGCTTTTTCAGTTCTTAAAATTAGTTCTACTATCCCCACTATGTAGCAGCAGCAGCATTGTCCATAAAGCTGAGGAGTTTCTCCGTCGGCTGGTATGTAAAAGGATAAAAAATTATTATAAGCATCCATCAGTAACCTGGTACGTAATATGCGGTAGTTTTGCAAAATTGCACTCGATGGTAACGATAAGAAGATCGCTTGCTAAATTCACAGTACTTACTTTTTTCTTCCTCTGCCTCCTGTTCGTCGCAATCTGGTCGACTTTGTCCATAATCTCTTCGAACTCACGTTTTTGTTTTGCGCACTGGCGGCAACTGCTTTTTTTCCTCCTCACTGGATTCGCCACCCACATTATGGTTCTAAGGTCGTTCGTTATTGGTATCTTTTTTTTTGCGAGAGAATTTCATGCTGTATGTATTTCTGTGTTTGTGTTTGTGTTTGTGTTTGTGTGCGTGTTTGTGTGTGTGAGTGTGTGCTTGTGTGTGTGTGATGGGTGTGTTTGTGTGTGATGGGTCCTTTTTCGCAGTTTCGTTTATATATAAGAGATTCGTAAGCGCTTGATAAGATTAGTGTCATTACCAAAGTAAGAACTATAGTTACCTCATAATAAGAACAACATTACACATGACTCAATAACTTCACTGATAACACGATATCTATTCAATTCTTACTACTCCTATCACGCTGATGGACACCTATACATTACCCAATGGTACATTCAAGTTATTATATCTCTCCCTTATTGCTGATACTCCTCTGTATATTGGCACCATAACAAAACATTGTGCGGCTTGCATAAGCATTCAAAGAAAACGAAAACAGATTCTACCTTTAAAAATGCGTTTCAACGGTAAGTTCTCGCCCGGTGTTGTTTCCGCTTATCCATAAAATATACATGACATACAGCAGGGCCAACGCTCTTCATACGTAGTACGTTAGTTCGGTGACTACTTTGTGGGCTGCACGGTAGTATGTAATTATTAAATCGGTTGCTTTCTAGCTTTAATATTGAATGTCATTTCTATTTATATAATCATTGTACTTGTCGAAAATAGGTTTACTATGCCGTATCATACGCCTTGCCCTCTGAACACTTGAGGGACCCGATCACTTATTTAACAGCAAAGACAAAGAAAAGTCTATTGCTACCCGAGGTTTGGTAAAATATTCTAATCTCATCGGAGACCTATTGGCGTTAGCAGCGAAATGTGCAACAGTCGACAAATAATACTAGTAACAATCCTGAGCATATTTGGTAAGGTATTTCGGGTGTCCGTAAACTTAATGCATGAGCTGTTGCATTGCGCCACCGCGATTCGAGGCTTGGTCATCTGAGTCACTTGGCGTTCGATGATATCAATCTATTCATTTATTTATACGGTTTATTTATTTCGGTGAATTTTGTTTTTCAGAGCACCCCCCTATAAAATTGAGGCTCCCCATTATTGGATGATCGTAACCTGATATAGTACCTTTGAAAGTTGATGGTTTGCATATTATATTAATATGAGATTGAATAGTGTATAATTTATTGTGATGTGAGAGAGAATGCCCCAAAAACATCAATACTGAGATAATATAATGAGCCTTTTATTAAAATAAAAAGTATTGTAAAGACGCCGACAGTATTACGTTAAAGTAGGGCTCGTAATATTCAAGATATAATAAACTTATATTACGTTTTGTGTGACGGTGATGATAGTTCATTATCAATATACTTGCAGGTCGATGATTGCCTCTAGGCAAGATTTGACTATCCAATCTGTTACCATTTACTGAATGTTAATATGTACGCAATTGCATTTGTAGGTCTTGTACATAATATTATTAAGAAAGCGAGATATTCGGGTTATATTTGAGTGTATTAGTCGATATATACTAGCGACTTAATGTCTGACTAAATACATGTCTTCCCGGCGAGATAAAAATTAAAGATATTTATCCCATCCCCCTTAAAAAGCATTATTCGGTTGAAAGTGGCAACACATATTTGTCATAAACATCCCATCTCACGTGATAAACTTGTATTGATCTAAGTCCAGTCCAATTGTAAATATGTGCCATTATCTGAGAGAGTAATTGTCAAACAATAAAGAGAATAATAATATGCGGATTAAATTGCACCTTATAACACATCCTATTGTTAACAAATACCCTCGAAACCGTTCTGGTCTGCTTAATTTTGTTGATTGTTGAGCATAACTGATATGCGTGTTGGGACTTCATTCTTTAACAGAATACGTTCGGTATTGCGTCGTCATATTGCGTTCAATTCTACGATAGCTCCGCTGTCTCTATGCTGACTCCGCTTCCCCTTTCACAATCGTTCGTCTTCTTATTACCAGCTGCTGCAATAGTGACTGATCGCATGGAAAGTAAACCCGATATACGTACAGTATAATGCCTTTGTTCTTGAAGTTGGTAACATTTTTGTCACAAAAACAACTAAATATTTGCTCTCCTTCCTACAACTAAGATCTTGCTGTAGTTTTCCAGGTGTTCCTTCACACTGTTTCCGCTCTCAGAGCCTTTACGTATAAAACATTGTTATTATAGTAAAAAAAGTAACATACTAGAGACTTATGAAAGATAATAAAGACAAAACAAAAACGACCATTTCTTTGCATTTTCATTCAACCGCAGATGTATTGAGACTGGTTCCAAAAAAGCCAGACATAGACGTAAGTATTTAATATGACTAACATTGACGAGAGAGGTTTGTTTCGACTAAATTCCTGTTATATGAATACTCATGACTTACCTGTATAAGCTTTTAGACTCTTGACCTCCGAGACAAACGACGGTTTGCTCTGTATAATACTGACAAAAATTCGCGTACACTATAAACGTCGGAATGATACAAATTCGAGTACTATAAATACCTTTGCTCTATGTGTTGGCAATGCATCTTCTTGCGGGCCGGGGGCATGGAGAAGAGGTCCGGTATCGTGCCAATAGTAGTTGATGCCTTATAATTACATCAACATACAAAACGTATATTCGGATTTTCAGACATACCCCAATCTGTATGGTTAGAAGACTATTGATGTATAATTTACTTTGCCCATTAACGACTAATATATTTTCATTAATAAATCGAATACATAAATACTCAAATACAAGTAAACAATTTCTTATATCAATTGGTATTAATAAATTTAATGTTAAAATACATATCTGTAGGCATGCGTGATGATTGAAATGACAAACAATAAGCGTATGTGTTCCCATTTTTATTATCGGGTGTGTCATTTATAACATATCATATATTGGAAATACCACTGAATGAAGGTGTTATTATTTGCATCTTCTTCTATATATACAAATATTTATATAGTTATAGACAGTATCACCTACCAAACACGCACGTATATATGCATATGTGGTCTGGACCTCCATCCATTTAAAAACCATTAACAATATGTGAAACATGTACTAGCAGGAAGAACGTAACTATCAAACCTGTCTACATGCATCTGAATACTTGGCAATATAATGTTAGAAATAATCTGTTGTAGAACATGGTAATTGTTAAGCAGATAATCAAAGAGTAAGTTGAATACGCACTTGATAAATTAGGAGCTCAGACGTCCCAAATAATTATTAGGTTGTAACACAAGAATAAACATTAGACTACGATAGGATACATCAGATGCAATACGGCGAATCCAAACCTGTTCTTTGTAGGTTTAGGTAATTCGGCCACTCGCAAATTCGACCTGCATAAAAAGGCCCTGCTGCGTGAGGGAGGCTTTAATTTTACACTAAGCGAAACTTTCTTTTTGAATTGGCGTTCCTCCCGACTATTATTAATATCATTCACAATAGTGTAAGCATAGTAATAGATATATATATTGTATTGTAAAAACAGCGACGTTTCATTTATTCCCTTCCACATGCCCACACGGAATATGGTGTTACGACGTCTTTTAGTTGACGAATCAGAGATCCCAAACGAGTCAATTCAATCTTTTTATACACTTTAAACTACTTTGGAATTCGCGGCTGCTCGTATTTTTTGGATTAAAAAAATGAGACAAAAAACAGATAAAGACTTTAGAAAGTCTTAACTCTTTTAACCATGTGTTTAAGCCAGTCTCAATTTTTGACTATATTCGTGCCAAGAAGAACGGCACCGACGAATATCCATGGTATACACAGGTCGAATAGAAAGAGATTAAATAAAGAAAACACAATTTTGAGACTATTAACCCTGGTAAGTATGTATGAGCAAGGCAGTAATACAGTGTAAAAGTCTACGGGGAAAATGCTAATTGTATGTTGGGACTTGCGCTCTCATAACAACCTTTGACCGACTTATACGACGTGAAAGTTGATAACATAATGTTGTAATTAGCGTGTTATGCAAGTATTGGAACTTTATCAAGTTTACGTTTTGTAGGAATTAATATAAACGACTAAGCTTTAATTGAAACTCTGCATGTGGTAAATATAAACAATTATAATAATTCAGAGATTACTCTAAGAAAGCAGGAGTCGAAAACCGATTAGCCGCTATTTTGTGGGGAGGGGAATGCCTTTGAAAATATTCAGACAATTATGAAATCAAAACTCTATGAAGAAAAAGGTGACTGAAGAATCTCTAGCATACCATTATCTTGTGATTGAAGCGAGACTATCAATCGTATCGGTACGAAAAGACTACAGGTAAAGCAACGGGTTGTTATTTCTAATGAGAGTGAACGATATTGGCTGATTGACAACACAAATTTATCGGTAAGTGTAAATGAGTTTATAATACCTCGATTCAGTATCTCTCTCTCATCCCCATCGCTTTGTTCTACCACTTCGACAGTCTTGCATATTTACTCAACGGATCAAGAAAGCGAATTCGGTATGAACGCCAGGGACAATTTTGAATCAACGAGTAAACGGTCTTTGGCTTGTAATACGGCTATCAACTATGCAATGTATATGTCTTTTCTCTCATATTTTTAGCTGGTGAAAAACGTGGAATAACTAAAGCTTCAATAGCATTAATATCGTATAGTCTTGCGATGACGCAATCTATACATACTATTCTTTACCAGTACCATTCCTACAAGAACCGATCAGAGACGTTTGGTCAATCAACAGATTGTCTTTTTGACTGGCTGACTGACGTACAAACAACTCATCATATTAAATTAAAGACTGGATGAATCTTAGGTAATAGTCATTTCCATGTAACAATATTGTATGCAGTGGCATTAGCACTATGTTATTAGGATCTTGGCATCCGAAAATCATCTCATTCGATCAATGTACACTCATGTCGATGATTTCAGTGATATTCAATCTTCAGGTAAGAATATTTTGACGAGTTTTATACAATTAATACGATGTTGTTAACATCAAGAACACTGATCCGTAACGTCAATAATAGTAACTTGAAAATAATAAATGATTTTACTATTATGGCCAAAGAGACTATGCTCGCTCTGTGAATGGTAACACGAACAGGGTAATTACATGCGGGTATCTGAAATGTAATTGGCGAATAATAGAAGTTGTGCGATAGAATTAACAAAATTCGATAACATTAAATAAAAAAGTAAAACGTAAATTTACGCAATTAAGTAACATTTTATTTATTTATTTATTTATTTATTTATTTATTTATTTATTTATTTATTTATTTATTTATTACAAATATTACAAAAATTATAACCACTAGGGAGATAGAAACTTATGGGACAATTATTGCCCATTGCCCGACGAGCCGCTTTCTTCTTGTCTGGGCCGAATCTTCATTATAAAAAAATTCTCCCCCTGCCACTCCGTTAGCATCTCCAGCCCGCCTCCCACGTCCTGTGAGCAGTTGTAGGACCAATTTAGGATCCCTGCTTGCAGCTCGGCGTGGGCCTCATAAAAGGCTTGCCATTCTTCGGGCAGGGTTTTCCACGCCCGGGCAGCCCACACTGATATGAGCTTCTGGTCTGTCAAGCCGTGGACGACGGCAAATGTTTGGCGAAACACGAAAAACCCGTTCGACCGGAACTTCGGTCCGCCTTCGTGGACGTTCAAACGTTTTTGTTTGAGTTGTTCGGCTGAGCGAGGCATTGTTAAATTTTTTTGGGGAGGGAAAAGCTTATGTGTGTGCGTGTGGTGCGAGAGTGATAGAGAGGCTGGTTTTATTTGATTCGGTTGTTAAGTAAAAAAAAATTCGAAAATTGAAGAACATGTGGGCTTTAGCCGTTTTTATAAAGTTTTTGAGCAAATCATTTTATATATACAATATGTTTACATTTATTAAATTTTAATTTATATGACGCATATATTTTAATATAAAATTTTATTATATTGGCATAAACGCATCAAATAATATTTATGTACAAAATATACGCAACTATATAGCAGTGTTTGTAAGTGTTAATGGTAAACCTATCATTGAATAAATTTTCTAATACATTTGCAAGGAAAAAATTAACATATTGTTAATACACATACAATTGTTAGTGCGTTTGTTTCATAATCCATTGCAATATACTTGGAACCAATAAAATAATAATAATTATGTGAAACAGGTTTACTGTTATCATACGCACTATATGAGTCAAATATGGCGTAATAAACTGAAACGTAGGGAGGTGCTGCATCTTGCTCTATGGAAAACAACAAGAATGGAATGGTTGTCTCTATGCAACACGCAACGTATGTATGTTTTTTATATAACAAGTTAAATAACTCGCGTCAGCCATTGCATTTAAACTCTTGCAAAGTCAAGCAAATGTTTCCTAATTACTAGTGTCGTGTTAATTTGTGTGTTGGTGATTCTAGCATTATCTCATGTAGATTAATTAAAAGATTATATGAATTCTTAAAAATAGTTAAGCAGAATTTACGTAGTACAATTCAATGCTGTGGGAATGTGAGAGAATGTGAAAAAATTGCTTGTGAACGAATAGCTTCCTTATCATTGTCCCATATCGGATAGACATGTAAAAATAACCAACGAATTAAAGTAAATTTATTACAGCTGTGCTGTACACGACTAGTACAAAGATCAATTTGGTTAATGGGAAAGGGGGTATTGATTACATCGTAAACTATAGCAAAGAGTCTACCATTGAAAAATCTTGGCCCCCAACACGAGTTGGTTGAGATTGCAGCAGTCGGTTGTTCACAAATTTGTAAAAGGGGAAAGACCCGCTGTTTCATTGGAGACAAGCCACCCAAAGTACAATAACATGGCCATTAAATTTTATATGTAATTATTAAAAAGTGTCTATTGCTATGCCTTGATAAAATAATTATTATTATGTCATTAATATTTATACATGAGTTAACAATAACCAGTATTATTAGTATGATAACAATAAATAAAATATATTAACAGCATAAATGTGATAATAACCGTATACAATGGTTTTTATTTGACCTCGCAATAGTCGCATTTTTGTTGTTACTTCACATTGCAGATCATAATGATAACACAACCGACTTTACTATCGCGTTTCATTCAATGGATTTTGTCCTCAAAAATTGTCAATATAAAATAATATTAGTAATAATAGTATTATTGTTTATGTATCAATTCAAAACTGCAGACGGTTCATTGCAATTATCTCGGTTCTTTTTTTTTATACAAGGAACTTGCCTTATCAATTAGCCACAACTCTTCATCTACTGATCTTCAACGCGTATTGATTGGTTGGATATCATAAACAAACCAATCAGGAACTTTACAATAAGGAAATGGGTTTTATCAATCGTTGAAAACGTTCTATCTGACTGATAGAGTGAATGAGTAGAATGATACCCCAAAGCCTCTGGTTCCTTGAGTTGATAAAGAGAATTAAAATAGGTTACTATACTTACTACATGTTATGTCACACTATTATTTTCTCGCATAATATCACATGATTGTTGACGTATTGTTATGCAGGAGGTGCTGTGCTTAGTTTACCTATTACTATTACCTACTTCAAATGCCCTTTTGGTTGTCGGAAACGTTTATCCATTTGTGCCGTACTTGGTTTCCAAGAGAAAAACACTGACATTGCGTTCATTGGCTACGAAGGGCCTTCTAAATCCTCCAGCAGTAGCATGTCAATACACCGGTACGTACACAAACGCCCATTAATAAGGACGACAAGTTCGGATAGACTTTCGCGCACTACCTCTATTGCGACATTTACTTTATAGACAGTAGACTTTATAGCCATATTGTCTTCAAGAGATAAGAACTGTCAATAGGTGGTGGGCGGTGGTGGGCAACGACATGAAGGAGAAGAGAAGGTGACAGCTGATTCTAATACATTACAGATTCTAACAATCGCATTAATCTTGTCATGCATTCTATACGCAGCACGAAACTATAAAGTAGCTGCCTTTATCTTCGACAAGCTACGAACTTCTCAAAACTTTTGACAATCAAACAAATGGGCATTATCCCAAGCACTTGTTGCTTTAACGGAAATTCAAAGTGACCGTTGGAAACTAATCAATACGGATTCATAAATGGTAACTAGTTGTTACGGATATA